GCACAAATTTTATCTTCTAGATAACAATTTGTCTGGTAGATAATGCTATCCACTCTTCATACAACTTGCCAAAAGGAAAACAATGCTTGCTATTGTCAAGAACAAAAGTCAGGAAAACAATTCCATAAACATGGCAGACAGGTACAGTACTGAGCCATGTATTTTATCTACTAATCTAACAGACATTTACCTCTGAATCAAAGAACTCTGTTATGTGGTCTGCAAGCAAAGCAAGTCTTTCTAGAAACAATGTCTTGAGTACTTGCACAGTATTATTGCTGCTGTTCAAACATAAGCTGTTGTTGCTGCTGTGCTGTGGTTCTTGCTCCAGGTAGTGAGCATCAATTTTGTCCTTTGGAATAAAAAAGTATTCCACATATCAAAACTACCTGTATGCTCTACAATGTATGATTCAATTCTCTCTTGCAGAAACTTACTTCATCAAAAGAAGATTCAAGGTAAAGCCTCTCTAATTTGTAGAATTCTTCATTGAATGGGTAGCCATGGTAAGGCAGTAATGAGCTGCGCAGTATAAAAAATGCAATTACAGTGTACTCAGTCATCTTATTATAAACTTATGACAATTTAACTTAAGATAAATAGAAAATTATGTTATTGTGAGTCATAATTATAAAGATTTAGTTAAATTAAAAACATGATATGCAATTGACTTTGTTGTTGTCTTTATGTTGTTATAACTGAACAACGTTATGAATTGACTGTATGTATATATGGGACGCATGGGTGCCGAGCGGTGAGAGCGCTGGCCTGTCACCTCTGTGGACCCTGTTCGAATCTCGGTCGGGGCGCCATATGTGATTTGAGTGATTTGATGTACTTAGGTACATCTACAAAGTTACTCTGACTCAGCCAATCAGAACTAGCATTACTATATACATGTACAAGTAACCAAGGCAACAAGGAAAGTCTGCCACAGCCCTACTCCCCCATGAAGTTAAATTCTACTCACTTTACTGTTGGATTTTCAGTAAATGAAGATGAAGTTAAAGTCCTAAGACACAAGGAGCTTAAAACCTCTGCTATTAGTCTTGTACTAATTGCTCGTGTTGCTGATTGACAGGTCAGGACTGTAAGTAGCCCTTTGTTAGGTTCGCCTACATCAGGTACTGGTAGCATCCAGTCAAGGAGATGTCGCCTAAAGGGATATGAGCCTCGTTCTGAAGATGAGGCTAGGATAAGTGGTTTTATTGGTTGGTAGTTTTCTGGCAGAGGGTAATACTGCATGTAGACAGACAGAAACTCAAGAGAGCTCCTGAAAATAAAGACAGTAAGCATAAAAAGGTGAGTAATCTGATGAATACAAAATACATTAATTAATGAACACCAGCGAATAAAGGACATGCTATGATGGCCAACATTCAAGGACTGACAACTGAAACAACAAGACCAGCAGGTGACAGTATTACTAAGACATGAATATAATGAACAAATGAATAGAATGATATAAATGGGAGTGAAAAACTACCATTCAGCAAGTGATTGAATGAATGCATGAGTAGAATGAATGGACAATGAAGTTCACAATCACATATTATCATGGAAAAAATAAATGAACAAATGAAAAGATGGATGAACAAAATGGGTAAACAAAGAAATAAATGGATGAATGCAAAACATTAACAGAGAAGAACAAACCTTGATGGAGGAGAAGCCAGCAAAACCTTCCAAACATCTAAATCTGGTTCAACAAGTTTTTTCTAAAAGAAATATTTCAAAAGAATGAGTATAAAGCACATTTCAAAGCTATTGGTTAACCTGTAGCTTGACATTGAGGTGTATAATCCGGCCAGTTGATGATACATGTATATCACAAGAAATCACAGTGTTATAATTTACCATTATCAGTATTGTCAKTAATGAGAATCCCTCTTCCTTGTGGTGTTTAATGCTAAGTGTCTTGAGTAAGGAGGTCCAAACTTTCTTCCAAAAAAACTGGATGGTATCATCAATGTCTTTGTTGAGTTTTGCCTTTCGCTGAGCAAAACAGATGGCAAAGGATTGAAGGCATTTTATAACATTTGATGCAACTTCTTGTCTGAAAAAAAACAATCCTTATTCCTAAATGTACGTTCATATGTAGTACTATATTGTAATGTACTCTGTCAGTGATGGCCTTTTCCTGAATAAAGTTTTTTTTTAATCATGATCATGACAAAAATTATACAATATGTAATTATTGTGTGAAATATTTTTGCTAATAATATTAAATGTTGTGCAATTCCTTACAAAGTGCTTCGTTTCGATTATATACATGCACTAAATTCATGCACACTTCAAAATATGTGTAGCTATAAAAAATAGTTGTTACCTTTTACAATTTGTCTGGAGCTGATGGAGTGCAGTCAACAAAGGCAGACATTCAGTTGAAGTRAGAGATGACGGGTGCTTAAGGAGAAGAGTGGACAGTACTTGCAACCTATAAAAATTCATTGACAATAATTATAAATAAAGAGAATTCACAGTTAGAAAATTACAGTACAAAGTTCCAGGCAATCTTACAAATAACAAATATATTTATCCAGTAAAGAACTTATATCTAATTAATGTAATATAATGGCAAATGTCACACAAATAAGCAAGTCACTCAGTTCATCATCTGAGAAGTCATTTTGATGTGCAATGCAAACCATACTGTAAATGAAATACAATGCTGTATCTGGAAAAATTAGTCATTTATCAAATACTATCAACAAGTTTTACCAGGCAATGAGAGCAGGTCCTTCCGATGTGACATCAATTTTTTCTCTCAGAATGTGAAAACCAACATCAATACGACGTCTCTTGGCAGCACTGCTCCCTACACAATATACATTATGGCATGAACAGGAACTCTTAAACTACAAATCAAGTTAAAGTCATTGGAAGGCTTTATGCATCTTTTAATTAAAGTGAAAAATAGAAATCAGAATGATATGGATTAGAAGCACTTCTAAACTYTAATCTGCTTTCAGCTCTTCTAAACTGGTTATGAAACCAGTTTAACCAGTTTTACCTGTGTCGCCATTGCACCCTTGTAACATGACTGAATTACAATTAGATGATGTCCAGAACACCTTGAATACAAACAAGGAAAATAAAAAATCAAACAACTGTTAAGGCCCCCCTTTGAATCATTGCTTTCAGCAAGGGTTTGAAGCAAGGCAAAAGGAGATCTAATTATTAAGTAAAAAATGTCCCACTTCAGAGTGCACAAAAGCTCTAAAATGTATTTTTTGTAGCTTTATTCCAACACTTAACACCCTAGAATGTGATTGGCAAAACTGCATTCATTTTACCTTTAAGATACATGTACTAGCATCAAATTACATTTACCTGATGAAAGACATCAGCAGCCAAATCCAAGAAGGATGGTTTTAATGCTGGATCCATCTTAGCTCTGAGAAAAAAAATTAATAATTTATGTAAATTGCATTATTTAAAGCAAAACCATCCAATTAATTCAGATATATGTTATTGTGTTGTTTTATGTGTTTTTTTTTTAAGTTGACAAAAACCTGCTCCATGGAAACGTTCTCAAAAAAGAGTAGTTGCCTGCACCTACCCTGCAGCTCTAATCTTTGAATCCAATTGTGTAATGTGACTTGACATTGCATCGTATAATTTTTGCAAACATTTCTGAACATTTAAACAATACGAAAAAATAATTAAAATTTACTTTTGATATATAATATAAGTCAAAAAATTATTTAAAAACAACCCCTCAATCCCTTAGGAAGGCCTGTGAATTAATACTTTATACACAACATCATCAATCATGAAGAGACATAGGAAATGATCTGTTTAGCCACCTTCTTTGTCTCAAATAGCAGGAAATACATTGTTGGAATGCTAAATTCTCCCAGTATCCCAGGGTCTTGAGGGTCATGGTTTCCACAAGTTACTGCTCAGTTTAGTTACTGGTTACATGATTATATTATTGGCAGTTTTCTTGTTATAAAACAGCTGCAGAAGTTGAATCCCCAGCAGCGTTTCCTAGAACTGCTTTCACTTTTATTCTACTAATGTACACAGAACAGTTACAGCACGAAACTATAACATTTTTATTGTTACTAGTGAAAACAGAACACAAATTGTAAGTGGGCAGCATGTTCTGTGTACAGTCATGGAAAGCTACTCTGTTTTCATCACCTTCCAGTGGTTGAAGTCTGTGCTCCAGGCTCCTTCATCATCTGTATGTGTTCCCATTGGGTGATGAATACTCATTAGGAGTTGAAAAAATGGTTCAATTTGATCCTTTAAAAAGCAAAAATAGAAACAAGCACGTTTTGCAAATATCTTTCAGTTAGCACATGAAGTACCGTCAGTGTTGCTAAAGAAACAGATCAGGAGGGCTTTTTGTTTACTGTATTTTTGGTTGTTTGTTTGTTGTTGTCGTTTTTATTTTACAATAAAATCTGTTTTTGAATCACATGCAAAACACATGTCTTATATCTTAAATACAAATATATAGATATGTATATAATTTAATAATTTTTAATGATTGATCACTATGTCAACCTCATAAATGTACTAAACAAATACATGTACAAAATATTACTAACATGAGAATAGATTTTGTTCTTCAAAATCATATCCAATACATCACTGTTTTTAATATATAAAGACACAATTTTTGTCATTTAATGGATTTACAACCTCATTGTATTACCTTGTATTGATTTCCAGGTTTCTTCCACAGATTTAGTAGATCAGGAAAAATTGTTTCACCAAGTTCACAAACTTGGCCTTTGCAGTCCTCAGCTACAGAGATTGCAAAGCAATGAAGTGCYGACAGCAAGTTTTCTAAATTTGAAACTTTCATGGATTCCCTTTTGAACACCAAATAGTAAAAAAAGAAAAATAGTTGACAAGTGCAAAAAAAAATACAGCATTTCAGAAGATGTTGAATACTGAAGTATTGTATTCTAAGAACGGAATGCATTGTTGGTTATATACAGTCATGTAATAAAATAATAATGTTCTACTGCTATTCACAAGGAGTTTTCATGGTGCCAGAGTGACTGTACCAGTTCAGTATATAGTCAAGAACTTCATTGAACACAAAAATGTTTAGAATTGCTATGTTGTAACACAGATAACATATGGAGTCTACACTGTAATATCAACAATGCAACACTAATGTAGTATTCAGTATTCAATGTTTTCTGAGAATGCATTAAGTAGGTGATATTATTTTACTAGCAATGTTTGTACCTTGCATTTTTTAAAATCTGTGAGAAAAACTTGAAGAGTCTAGGGTTTTGAAGTTGACAATTYGAACCAGAAATGACCAAATGAATAATGCTATTCACAAGATTGGAGTCTCTSGAAAGCCATGGTGGAGCTTCAGTAGCAAACTCAATGAAAATGTCCAAAATTTCTGCAAAAGATTGTATTCTTAAATAAGTCACAATTTCAAACACTGAAAAGAAGGGAATAATTTTGAGCCCCTTTCACAGAAGTGATATTTCCTTTTTACCATACACTGTAAATGAATTATTCTAGCAAACCCGCGTGTTCCGGACAATATATGGATATAGATATTATGATGTTTAGATATTTAGACAATTCTCATAATTTTTGCAAAAGGCTGTATTCTATTGTATATAATATTTACATATATATTTTTCTATTTCTATTTGTATTTATCCTTTTCTTTAGCTTGTAATATGCCGCAATTCAGCCCTTTGGCTGCAAAGGTATTTTTAATAAAACTATCTATCTATCTATCTCATCTAGTTCTTATTTTCACTCAAAGATAAAATCCATATGCAATATATCCTCTTGCCCATGTAACATCCTCTATATCTTATGTTCAAGTGTAATATACGATCTTTAAATTACCTTCCCAGTGTTTCTTGGGGATTTCTAGTCTGTATTTAGGAACAGATAGCACAGATTTCATAAGAATCTGACAGTATGTCTTTCCAATGTGTTTAGAGATGTCTGACTTTAACACAAACAGAAGGTGACCTGTCACATCAGATATCTTTAGACGAGGACCTCCTGAAACAACATATTATGTACAACACATTATTAATTATTATCTCAAGTATTGCTGTAAGTATTGTAGTACATGTATTATTTCGTGGATCACATACAACTGCTTCCCATGTCACCCTGTAGATTTGCCAAAGTGGGAAATAATTTATTAAACCGTCATAGATGTGCATGTATACAGCTTTGCTTATAACCTTGAATATTATTCGTATAAATGGTAATTTGATAACACAATCAAGAAAATAATTAACATAGACTTACTCTGATCTGCCACTTTAATCACAAAGCTGATGAAGGATGTCGCAGCCTACAATGAATATTTATCAAAGTTGGACATTAATACATGTAATTTGATAAAAAGGTTTGGCTTCAAATGTTGTCCATATTGACATTCAGAAGATATGTATATCTGTTTTTGCTTACAGCAATCTTGTTCATTCTGCTAGTTTTTGTGGATCCAGCAACTTCAGCTCCACCTTTCTTGGCAGAGAGACTCTCAAGATGTTCAAGCTCAATGAGAACAAACTCCTTGGCTCTTGAGAACACAACTTCCCATGTGAGGGATGATTTCCTTCTGCTATCTGTGTTGTTATCAATGGCTGCTCTGATGTGYTGCTGGTTGAGGAGACGTTGCAGAGCTGCAGAGGAGTCCTATGTTGAATTGYACAAGTTAACGRCATGGGAGWWCCTTTGCAAAWATTTTTGAACCCTTCAGTAGGCAAGTTTCAACATGAAATTATTTGCGAAATGAAACAAATGATTGTTAAAATTTCATTCATTATTTAAATACTCAGTTTTGTTTCTTCTACGTAGGTTTTACATTTCCGAGCTTTTGGACAACTTGATGATTGTTAAGGTTCTCAGACGCATATACATGTAGGCTTTAAAAGATTAGAAATGGACTCAAATCCACATTGCATGTACTGTAGCCTCCTTTTCAGACATTCTTAGTAAAGGTTTGATCAGTATTTTTATAATGTCTGCAAATGAGGCTACTCTGTATGTGCATTGATCGTGAAAAAAACTGAAATGTGGTGTGCTTGATTTTAATTATCACGACATCCCAACCCATATGTTATATCAATAGATGCTCGACTCACCTTGCACAATGTTTAATCTTACTTCAGTCCCCTTGGGAATAAAATTCATTGTTCTCCATCAATGCTTGTGAAATATGAATAAAAGCAAGACAACGAATTCTATTCCCAGGGGTCTGACGTGGGACAAACTCAAGACTCAAAGACTCAATCTCAGGTGATTGTATGGAACGATTTTAAGGATGACATTACACTTAGGATGTACAAATAAAAGCTAGGAATTTGACATACTTTTCTTTCTTTTGCTTTATCCGACGTTAGCATCATACAATGCCGAGTGACGTCTGCAAGGTCTGTGSAGGCAGTCGCCATGTCGATTCCAAGAGACTTTGGTTTGTTGTGGAGTCCTTCACAGATAATCAAAACACCTAATTTCTGCTTTTACGAAAATATTGAAACAAAATAAAGCAATCGAAGTATTCATTGTCTAAAAAACGCAACAAAAAAGCGTCGTTTTGGCATATTTTGGTGTGATGACTGAAGTTCACACGTGTTTGTGTTGGTAAAGTCAAAATGTGCAAGGCGCCAAATTTTCAAACTCGTCCAAGTCTTCGTGCGAGAAACGTCGGAAACCCTTCGGAACGCTTCGAAACAAAATATTCTTCGCTCTTTTCTTCAGTTTTTGCTTTRGTATTTTTTAAAATATAATAGAAAAGTAAAGTGATGATATTTKTAGCAAAGTTATGAATTATTAAGCTTATGCAAGTAAAAAATGAATTATGYCAGTTCATCGATATGGCGTCGTGTCTTACTCGTATTTATATCGGACGTTACGGAGGGAACCGGACGTCTTTCAAAATATTTCAGTGAAACTCTGGAATGAACRTGTTTTGAGCCTCCACAGTCTTTGAATACGAAGACAATATATATCGCTATGTGTATGAAGAATATAGCAGGTCATATTAGATATTTTGTATTATTGATTTTATTGATTTTGTGCGCTGCTCATGAGAATCATGACGAGACGGGYCAAGATAGCGAGGATTATCACGCGAAGAGCTCCAACGAAAGGAAGTGAGTTTTAGAAGCAATTTAATAAATGGTTTCCTGAAAAGAAATATTCAATCGAACAGAATGGGATTGTGTATATTTAGTCCATAAAACGTTATGTTTTGACCAGCTGAGAATGCGTTGTTCAGTCTCACTTTTAATATCGACCAGCTGCTGTAGTAATTTTATAAACAAAAGATTTTTATAAGCTTAAGGAAGGCTTCGTATTGAATGTATACTACAATAATAATGAGAGAATTCGTGGCATAAAATTAGCTTGATTGACTTATTGCGATCCTTGAGCTTCAAAAAGGCTGATCATTTAGCAACTATGGGGTTTGAGACGTTTATTTAGACTGTGTGTACAGTTCAACAGGTAGACTACTGCTGGTCAATACGCTGTTCAAAACCTGCACCAAATCTATGTGAAAAGCGTGATTAAAATTAAATGTTGCTTGTTTATTTTCTAGTCACTTGCTTGCTCATATAGCAGACCGCATGGATTTAGACGGTGAAGGATTGAGGTGAACATATTGAACTTTTATTGAATAATTTACATACATTTTGTGATTTTGATATTGCTCTTTATAATACTATTGAATTTAGAAATTTGTACAAATCTTGCATAAATTGTAGTGTCTTTTAAATGCGAAGAATATAAAACGTTGAAGCCACACTCATAGCTGCCAGTTTTGAAAACGAAATACATGACTTGTGCACTCGCTTTAGGTGTTTGTCTACACTTGATTGTTTCTCGACAAAGATAAGAGAGCCACACTTGAAAGCTTTCAACCATCTTGTCAATCATTTTCTGTTGTTCCCTTATCAAAACATGAATATTAGCTAACAATTCATAAATCTATTTTTTCTAGTATTTCATTGTATTTGTTTTATTACTCAATCCATTCTCTTTCCATTTTTATCTATTTTTTTTTACTCCTATTTTTTTTACTCCGTAGTTCATTTCTGTTCTGTTTTGTTCTTAACAAAATTCATTAATGAGAAACACCTCCTACGCTCTGAACCTTTCCACTAGAGCGTTTTTATCACATCCTAGCATTCGATTTATCGATAAGAGRCGCATTTATCAAAATGGTAAAACCTGTTCACAGCTCTTTATTTCTTAAATATTAAACGGCGCGCGTGGCTTTGTCCTCTGAAATAAACATAGAAGCAAGCTTAGAAACACGAGCGTAGCGAGTCTTTCTCTTGCTTTTCGAGCGGAATTCCGGACACAAGCGGCCGTTTTATAGTTCTTTATAAAATGTTTCGAGAGAAAAACTAATTTTGCCGGTAAGCCGTGTCTCTGTTCTCTGATATAAACACGTTCGTCAGCCAATCAGAGCGCGCGTTAAAAAATGCTGGGATTACATTGGGTCGCATGSGCAGTGGACTCTAAGAGTGTACATGTTTAATTTGAGTTTTTTTATTGTTTTAGACATATACAAAAACACTTAAAAGACGTCGCTGGCAACTACAGTTCTAGTGACGTAGAAGATATCGAAAAAGGAGACAACCAAAAAGGTACTGGAAGGTTTTCCTTTCCTTTTTCGTGTTCACAGGATTCTTCGTATCGTTTCTTCCTTTCTCTGTCTTGGTTGACCCATAGGCTGCCTGAACTCTTGCATAATGCATGAAAGAAGAAAAGAACGAGATGGACTTTTATTTATAGACGCGCGCTCTCAGTAAAATGCGGTTTACCTGTGTTATTTCGTCACATGCCAACCATGCCAACCTCGTTCCCAGGGCTACTCTGCTCGCTTTTTTCAAAATGGCGGACAAAGATCTCTGGTCGCAGAGTGGCCCTGGGAACGAGGTTGGATCCCATGCCTCGCGGGAAACTAGTCTGGATTTAAACGATTTAAGAAATATAAAACGACGCGCGTGTCTCTGTCCTCTGATATAAACACGGTGGGAGTTCGAAAAACACGAGAGAAGCAAGCTTAGAAACACGAGCCTAGCGAGAGGAGGACAGAGACACAAGCGGCCGTTTTATATTTCTTTTATAAAATTTTTCGAGCGAAATGCAAATTTTGCCGGTAAGCCGTGTCTCTGATCTCTGATATAAACACGGTCGTCAGCCAATCAAAGCGCGCGTTATATATCGAAAATTTTATAAAATAAAATAGTGTTTTTATTATCCATGATATTAAAAAAAGTTGTGGTAGCTCATTCTTTTCTTCTCTCAAGCAATAGTTGGGCAGCCTATATGGTTGACCTTCAGATCCTGCCTCTGCAAAAGTTGTGAGACGGAGTAGCCAAAGGCGCGGTGGACTGTTGGACGATCTATAATGCGCAGCAAAATGGAGCTATTCCAAGTAAATTTTGTTTGAATATGCTTTCTTTCTTCTTACCTTTTTATCCCTTTACAATTCAGTATCTTTTTTCGAATAATATTTTGGGTTGCAGTGTAATTTGTTGTTTTATTTTCTTAGGAATGTTTTACTTCTTCAAACTACACGATTATGATAACAACAATAAATTAGATGGACTAGAGTTGATGAGTGCACTATCTGACTTCCATCATGAAGACACGGTGAAAGACGAGAAAGAAGGAGGAGAGAAATTCCTTGAGGACGAGGTCGTGAAAATAGCAGACGAATTACTTGAGAAACATGATTTAGATCGAGATGGAATGATCGATTACGCTGAGATGATGAACACTGAGATTAATTCTTTGATGACAGAACTTGATAAAAACGACGAGCTATCGAAACAACAGCAACATCAACAACAACAAGAGCAGCAGAAGCAACAATAACAATTACAACAACAGCATAGAAGCCACAATAACAACAAC